ATGTATAATTTTTGGTGAATAGGGTTCAATTGAACCCTCTACCGTGCACCTAGATCCGCCCCTACTTGCACCCAGAGGTTGTTTATGTTGTTTGAATCCATGGCCTCTGAGTACGCGATGACAACTTTTACTATTGTGTCAGGCTGCCTTTCATTTGAGTATCACTACTTCTACGTTTTCTTTTTCAATAAATTATACATCTGAAAGGAGAAGGGGAAATAGGGACGGGATTATAAGGTGGAGGATCTAACCATCACCTGGGAAAGAATATTATATTTTCACCTAACTCTACTATGAAAATACTCCCACTTGATCTGAACTTTTGTGCACCATCTCTTCAAATATGCCTGCATGTATTGCCGTTTGAGCACCTTTTGGAATTCCAGAAAATGTTTGTACCAAGAGAATATACATTTGAACAGTTTTTTTTTTAAAATTGTTTTTATAAATTTGTTAGTTAACATGTGGAGAAAGATCTTTCTCTTTGATAACCCCGTGATACCACTTCTACGAAAATAAACTTTTTTTTTCGGAAAACTTTTAGAGATTTTCTTTTTAATTTTAAAGAAACACCTTTTTTGAAATATCTTTTGCAAGATTTAAAAAATCATGGAAAAATTCCGCCAATTTCTTGACACTATTGATAATGAATAATTTTATAATCGACCGAATCCTCAAGTCATATTTTATATAAGATATATTTGTTGGAACAGTTAGTGGTTAGGACTTAACTGTGGTTAAAGGAGTTACTGTAGAGGTTAGTAGGTTTTTAGAGGTTAGTTAACTATACTGTGTATATGACAGTTAGGTGACAATAGTAGATTAGGTCAGTTGATTAAATTAGCTCTGTATATATATATATACACACACACACACACACACATTGTAATCTCATTGTAAAACATAAGAGATCAATTTATTTTTCTTCTAGAAGGCTCTAACAGATCTCTCTCTCTCTCTGCTCGAAAACTTTTGCTCTCACTTCTGCACAAGCTCATTTCCTCCATGGGAGGAGCTTGGAACTGAGCTAGAATCATCAAATTCACATGGTATCAGAGCGTTTGATACTGGAAGTTTCCGCTAAATCTTAGAACTCTGTTTCAATTTCTTCTTCTTCTTCAAATCTCAGTTGAAGTTCAACAATGGCGGCTGATTCACTATTTGTGCATCCTTCCGATACTCTTAGCTCAATTCTAATTCTAGTAAAACTATATGGATCTGAGAATTATGGATTGTGGCGTCGATCGATGCAAATTGCATTACAAGCTAAGCAAAAATTAGGGTTCGTGACTGACACTTGTAAGAAGGAGTCGTTTGAAGCTGAACTCCATGAGGATTGGGAGACATGCAATGCTATTGTGCTCTCCTGGTTGATGAACACAGTGTCACCGGATCTCTTTAGTGTAATCGTTTATGCACCGAATGCGCATCTAGTTTGGGAGGATTTGCGTGAAAGGTTTGACAAAGTGAATAGAGTAAGGATATATCAGCTGCATCGAGAAAATACAACCATTTCTCAAGGAACAGACTCTATTTCATCTTACTTCACAAGGCTGAAGGAGCTCTGGGCTGAGTACGATGCCATGGTACCTTCACCAGGATGTGATTGTCCAAAATCGAAGGATTACATAGAGCATCTTCATAGATAGAGGCTACTTCAATTTTTAAGTGGACCGAATGAGTCCTATGAGCCATCGAGGAGGCAGATTTTAATGAAGATTGTGGAACCTACCTTGAATCAAGCCTACACGATGATAATCGAAGATGAAAGTCAGAGGTCCAGCTCTAACTCAACAGGAAAGGCTGATCCAATGGCAATATAAATTAGACAAGGACAACCATACAACGAAATGAAACCTTACATGTAGTGTTAATACTGCAACATGAAAGGTCACTTGAAAGAGAATTGTTACAAACTATTTGGTTATCCACAAGACTTCAAAGGAAGGAAGAAATTTGTAGCCAACAATGTGATTGGTAACTCTGATTTGAACAAAAGGACTCCATCAGTGGATGAGGAATCAAGCCTTGGGCACACAGGTGACAAACCTTTCTTCACAAAGGAGCAATATGGGCAAACTCTCACTATGCTGAACAAAGGAAATACTGAGCCATAGGTGAACATGGCAGGTATAACATCTTCATTTATGGAAGACTTAGATTGTGAGGAATGGATAATAGATTCAGGGTCTTCGCATCATATTACTGCTAGCCTAGATAGATTACACAGTAAAACTGAGCTGAGATCATGTATTAAAGAACATGTTAACCTACCTAATGGAGGAAAGTCCACTATAACACATAAAGGAATAGCAGAATTCCTAGAAAATATGAGAATACACAATGTACTTTACGTTCCAGACTTCAAGTTCAACCTGTTATCAGTTTCAAAACTGAAAAAGGAGCTCTCTTGCTCTGTCAATTTCTTTCCTGATTTTTTGTATATTTCAGGACCTTTACAGTGGCAGGGTGAGGGGGATTGGTAGAGAAAAGGGAGGACTGTACATAGTCAAGAAAGATATAAATAAGAAGTTTCAATTGCCAGTGATGAATGTAGTTGTATCACAACAAAAAGAGGACAACATATTATGGCATAGGAGGCTTGGGCATGCTTCAATAAGCACCATGAAGAATATGACATCTTTGCAAAATAAATTGAGTAATGTCAACGTAAACAATGATTGTTCTATCTTCCCTCTGGCAAAACAAAACATATATATTTTCCTAATAGTTAATCTAGGAGTCAGTCTGTATTAGAACTTCTACACATGGATGTCTAGGGTCCCTACAAAATTCCTCCTCATGATAAGAAGCAGTTCTTTCTGATGTCTAGATTCACTTGGATATATTTGTTGCAGTTTAAAAGTGATGTGTTTGTTGTACTGAAATTATTTCTTGCTATGATAAGAACTCAGTTTAATGCAATTACAAAAGTCATTCATATAGACAATGGTATTGAATTTTTTAATCACCCATGCACTAGCTTACTCATATGGCATTCTACATCAAAGTAGTTGTGTCTATACTCCACAACAAAATGGAGTTGTGGAGCGCAAACATAGGCATATTCTTGATGTAGCAAGGGCACTGAAGTTCCAAGGTACAATTCCAACCAGATTCTGGGGAGAATGCATAGATACAGCCGTATATCTTATCAACAGATTGCCAAATGATGTTTTAGGTGGCAAAAGTCCTTTTGATCTTCTATATTCCAGACCACCTATTCTTGCACATTTGAAGGTGTTTGGATGTCTATGTTATGATGTGAATTTGCCCAAAGGAGACAGGTACAGCTAGACCCAAGGCTGCTTTATTCTTGGGTTATTCAGCCACACAAAAAGGTTACAAGTTGTTAGATCTTGAGACTAAGCAATTGTTTGTTAGTCGAGATGTGGTATTCAAGGTGAATATATTTCCTTTTCAATAAGTTGCCAAGTTCTCCTATCCCTCATCTATTGGTTAATCCTCCACAGCTCATGACAGGGGGAGATTGCAAGATCATGAAGTACTGGACTATGAAGTATATGATGAAGCATACTCAGTTGACACTCATAAAAACTCTGAGAACTCTGTTGATAGTGAAGCTCATGATGAAGCAGTAGATGATGTTGTCAATAATAATTTTGAACCAGCTGAGGATACTCATGTAGTAACTGAAGGTGAAGCTGCACTTGCTCCTACACTTACAGAAGCTACACCTGCTCCTGCACTTACAGACACACCTACAAACATTACTGAAGGCATTATGGAGCCTAATCACACAACACAAAACTTGAGAAAATCAGGAAGAACTGCTAAAGCACCATTGTGGCTTCAAGATTTTGTAACTAGTAAGAAGGCAAATGGAGCAACACTACACACTTTAGCAGACTGCATCTGTTATGACCATGTGTCAGAAAAATGAAGCAGTGGACTATGAAGTATATGAGGAAGCATACTCAGTTGACATTCATGAAAACTCTGAGAACTCTGCTGTTAGTGAATCTCATGATGAACCTGTAGATAATGTTGTCAATAATAATTCTGAACCAGTTGAGGATACTCATGCAGTAACTGAAGGTGAAGCTGCACTTGCTCCTACACTTACAGAAGCTACACCTGCTCCTGCACTTACAGACACACCTACAAAAATTACCAAGGCATTATGGAGCCTGATCACACAACATTAACCTTGAGAAGATCAGGAAGAACTGCTAAAGCACCACTGTGGCTTCAAGATTTTGTGACTAGTAAGAAGGCAAATGGAGCAACAGTACACACTTTAGCAGACTGCATCTGTTATGAACATGTGTCAGAAAAATGAAGTAGTGGACTATGAAGTATATGAGGAAGCATACTCAGTTGATACTCATGAAAACTCTGAGAACTCTGCTGATAGTGAAGCTCATGATGAACCAGTAGATGATGTTATCAATAATAATTCTGAACCAGCTGAGGATACTCATGCAGTAACTGAAGGTGAAGCTACACTTGCTCCTACACTTACAGAAGCTACACCTTCTCCTGCACTTACAGGCATACCTACAAACATTACTGAAGGCATTATGGAGCTTGATCACACAACACAAACCTTGAGAAAATCAGGAAGAACTGCTAAAGCACCACTGTGGCTTGAAGATTTTGTGACTAGTAAGAAGGCAAATGGAGCAACACTACACACTTTAGCAGATTGCATCTGTTATGACCATGTGTCAGAAAAATACAAGAGCTACTTGGCCAAGCAATCAGCCCTCACAGAGCCTCAAAGCTTCAAGGAAGCATCTCAGGATGACAATTGGATTGATGCAATGAAACTGGAAATTAAGGCATTAGAAGACAATAATACATGGGAAATAGTAGACCTATCAAAAGGCAAGAATGCAATTGGATCTAAATGGGTCTACAACATAAAATACAAGTCAAGTGGAGATGTAGAAAGATAGAAGGCTAGATTGGTTGCAAAAGGGTATAACCAAAAGGAAGGATTGGATTACCATGAGACTTTTTCACCAGTTGCCTAAATGGTGAAAGTGAGAACACTGATTGCATTGGCAGCATCAAGGGGTTGGAACTTGTATCAAATGGATGTCTACAATGCATTATTTCAAGGAGATCTATATGAAGAGGTGTGCATGGAGCTTCCTCATAGATTCAGAAGACAGGGGGAGTCAAAGGTTTGTATATTGAAGAAATCATTGTATGGGCATAAACAAGCCTCAAGGAAATAGAATATAAAGCTTACTGAGGCATTAAAGGAATCAGACTACAAGCAGAGCTTGTATGACTATTCCATATTTACTAAAAGTAGAGGAGATAACTTTGTGGCAATATTGATATATGTGGATGGCTTGTTAATTACAGGGAATGATGATGGTCACATACAGGAGACAAAAGATGTACTACATCATAAATTCAAAGTGAAAGACTTTGGAGAATTGAGGTATTTTCTGGGAATAGGGATCATGAGACAAGCAAGGGAATTTTGTTGAATCAAAGAAAGTATGCATTGCAATTGGTGTCAGATCTGGGATTAGGAGGAACTAAGCCAGCAGCAACACCTATTGATTTGAATCAGAAATTTACTTCACAAGAGTATGATCAACATACTGGTGCATCAGGAGATGAGGCATTAGGTGATGCATCAGCCGATCAAAGAAGCATTGGGAGATTGCTTTATCTAACAATAACCAAACCAGACATTAGCTATGTTGTACATACTCTAATTGAATTTATGCAAGCACCCAAAAGATCTCACTGGGATGCATCAGTTAGAGTAGTAAAGTACATCAAGAAAGACCCAGGAATGGGAATTCTTATGAGTAGTGTACAGTCAAATACCTTAAGCTGCTACTCTGATGTTGATTAGGCAGCATGTCTAAATACAAGAAGATCAGTGACTAGGTTCTTAGTGAAGTTTGGGGAGTCCCTAATATCATGGAAATCGAAGAAACAACAGACAGTTTCAAGAAGCTCTACAGAAGCAGAATATAGGAGTTTGGCAGTAGGTACATCAGAAATAACTTGGTTGTTAGGACTGTTCTCAGAGTTAAAGGTGTCCATTGAGCAACCTATAGACTTATTCTGTGATAGCAAGACAGCATTGCATATTGCAGCCGATCCTATATTCCACGATAGGACAAAATATATAGAGATCGATTGCCAGTGTTGGAACAGTTAGGTGTTAGAACTTAACTGTGTTTAAAGGAGTTAACTGTAGAGGTTAGTAGGTTGTTAGAAGTTAGTTAATTCTATTGTGTATATGACAGTTAGGTGACAACTGTATATTAGGCCGGTTGATTAAATTAGCTATATATATATATATATATATATATATATATATATATATATATATATATATATATATATATATATTGTAATCTCATTGTAAAACATAAGAGATCAATTCATTTTTCTTCTGGAAGGCTCTAACACATCTCTCTCTGCTCGAACATTTTTGCTCTCACTTCTGCACAAGCTCATTTCCTCCATGGGAGGAGCTTGGAACTGAGCTAGAATCACCAAATTCACAATATTGGATCATTGTCTGAACATTACAATTTAACGAAGTAGAATTATAAATCTAATTTCGTATAAAAATTTAAGAAAAATGCCTATGATATTCAAACTCTATGCTTGCTTTATCACATTTCTAAATTTTCGTGAGATTCCTGAAATTCCTTTAGAGTCTATTGAATAGTTTTTTTTTTTTTTTTATTGATTATGCATGTGATTTTACTTGAGGATATTAACGGTCCAATTCGATTTAATTTTCACTTATATAAAAAAAGAAATCAAAACAATTATGTTGATTTGCTACTTTGCTATGAGAACATTTGACGTCCTTCGTCCATTTTGTTTCTCAGCTCTTATCCACTTTGACTGACCTCAAAATCTGTTTGATCTTTAAGATTCAACTGTCCGTTGGTAGCTGGAATTTATAGGGGAGCAATTCCAAATTGATCCAAAAATACGACAAGGTATTTCCCTTTTTAATCTTTTGGTCTTGTGATGTAGTTCTGATGATCAATATATTTTCTCGTTCTTTCTTTTATTGACTTATTTTTCCCGATTTCTATTATCTTATGCATAAATTTAGAATTATCGCCTAAATACAAGGTTGATGACAACATGAAGATTCATTACTTATAAAACTCTAGCCAGACAAACATTAACTTTTCGTGTACGCATTTTGTAATGGAATCTCCGAAGCTGGATAAATAATAAATAAAGGTTGTCTCAATATACTTTTATAGCAGAAACTCAAAGTACTTGGATTATGTTTATATAGTATTACTACTTTGTCTTTAATCTCTATACGCTTTAAATGCCTTTACAAAATAAAGCTCCAAACATTGTTAAGGGCGGCGTTTCCAAATGAATCCAAAAGATGAGTCACATATTTATTTTTATAGTATATCTTTAAAATGAATATTCACCAAACTTCATGTCTCTTGATGTTCGAAGCTATAAAAGATTAACTACTTTTATAAAAAATAAAGACGGCTAATACTTGACATCCCCTAAGTTTTCAGTTTCAAAATGGTTAGATTTATTTCTACTGGATCTTATCAATTAAAGATATTTTATGAAAATTATGTCATAGACTCTACTGGCTCATATTATAAGTAGTTCAATAGTCCCAATCATTGGATCTGTTTGAAACAACATGTATCTGGCTGGCCATAAATGATAATATTGTCCCCAGTACTCTTCCAGTTTTAATGAAACCCGAAATTACGTGTTTGGGCGTTATTGAAATTTTGCAATGACTTTGATTGATGTTGAACCAAAGTACTAAATATCGTGATCTTTATTACAAAGTTCGCAAATATTTTGGGTAAGTGAAGGAACAATGCCTAAAGAGTTTTCTGGAAGGAAAAACAATAAAGCCACCAATAAAAGAAAAAAAAGGGAAAACAAAGGTGGTATGGTAAGGGAAGTTGGGAGGAAAAAAATAGAAAAGGGAAAATCCTACCCGAGTCGCGATAAAACCAAGTTAAGGGGAAAAAATGTTAAATCACATAATTTCTCAACATTCCAATTGGAAATGTTGAGTTTATTTGCTATTAATGCATTCAAGAAAAAGAAAGAGGAATGGTCGATCGACATGACTAAGCAAGTGGCAAGGATGACTCTATACTCTGAATCCCTATTTAATGGAGCCATTGCCAACACTAGATCTTTAATGACATGCAAGTTGTAGTGTAAGAGTGCACCTTTCAATTATCACTTATATATGTTGTGCATTAATATCAGTGTTGTATTCATTTCTTGCTTCTAAAACTAGACTAAGATGAGCCAATTGACATGTTACATTCTAGATAAGTCTTAGCATAACATTTTGGAAATTCGTGTTAATTAGTCACAAGTTATCACAATCTTGGAGTGCATTAATCTCCGGATTGTTCTTGTATAACCAAGTTAAAAACCTCAATTGGAGTGCACCTCAATGTGTTGTTAAGGGAATTATTTTATGGAAGGAAAAAACTTTATATCATGCTTCATCCATAATATGGACGCTAAATAATGTAGATCTTGGGACAATATTCTCTTATATGTATGAAACTTTTGGTGTATAGGAGGAATGGGCTAGAACTGTTCATTAATCCCATTCCTCAAGAGCTATAGTTAACTTAATCAATACGACCACCTGTATGTGGTGAAATTGGTTGATAACAAGTGGTCGAATGATAAAGCGACATGTGAAACCGAAGATAGATAAAAAATGAGTTGACAAATAACTGGCACCGAGTGCGAAATATGTAACTGGTACATAATAGACCCCGAAGGAACCACAACTGATGGTAGAGATTCAAAGGCTTGACATCAGATAACATTTAATGAGCAGCCGTTACATAAAATATCTGCTCTCAAAGGCCAGTGGTTATGCAGCCATCAATAGTATTTTTATTCTCATTCAAGAAGAGCTTGATAAGATCTTGTCTCCCTAAGGATAGCTATAAATAGCAGAATTGAAAACCTTTGTAGGACAAGACACATTCTGCATACAAAAGCTATAGCATACTGTTTTACGCACGATCTATATAATTTCATCATTGCTCTATCATTGCTTCTGTTCTCGCTATAGGTAAGATCGAGCTCAGAATCAGGCTTGTCATTTCCTTTAATTTCAGTCGTCAATCTTATTTCTATTCTATTTTCTTATCATTTTTGGATCAATCGATTCGTTTGTCTATAAACCACGCTACAAATTTAACTGTACCGTTTTACGGGTAATCAGTTTGGTGCCCACTGTGGGACATAGACAGATACGTAATTGCTTTGATCCAGTTATTTATTACTAAGAAATTGTGATTCTTTCCTTAGTAAGAATCAGATATGGCAACCAATGATGTCAAAAACGTTCACAACGTGGGAGCACACGATGAACGGGAAGAGGTGTCTAAACATGATGATTCCATCAGCGAGACCCGCAACGAAGGGGATGAAACAACCCCTGCTCATGAAGGACAATATCCTCAACAGGTGCAGGGCCCAACCCCTAATGATGCGGAGGACGAACACGTTGCTGAAACGGTTAAACTCTTGAGAGAGCAAAAACGAGCAATCGTGGATTGCCTTTCGATATAAGATCACGTGATGCCGGAATTAAAGCCGGCGTTATCGGGTGCTTCCAATAACGCTAATGGAGGGGCCCTGGTTTGTCCTAGTTCTCCCACAAATCAGGCGGCACGAAGGACCGATAACTACACTCCAAGAGATAAGGTCGGTTTCGAAGGAGCCAGAGGTACCGGTAGTGGATCTAGGAACAATAACTTGAGTGATCCTTTTAAAATCGAGCTCATGAGATTCATGGGAGAGATGAATGAATGAATGAATGGACTATAACATAAAGGAGTTTCACGCTCGGTAGGATCAAATTCTAGGTGCGTCACCGATATTAAAGGGTCTAGATTCCAAAAGAACACGTAGTTTCCATTTAAGCCAAGTGCGACACCAGAGTTAATTCCAAAGAGATTCAAGATGCCGGACATACCAAAGTATGATGGGACTTTGGATATGCATGAGCACATCACAGCCTACACCACGACAGTAAAAGGAAACGATTTAACTCAACATGAGATCGAGTCGGTTCTGGTGAAGAAGTTAGGAGAAACCCTCACGAAGGGGACCCTGACATGGTACTCCCTCTTACCTAAACATTAAATCTATTCTTTTGAGATGCTTGCAGATTCTTTGATTAAGGCCCATGCTGGAGCAAGAAAGGTTCAAGCTAGAAAGGCGAACATATTTAGAATTTCGCAAGGAGAATCCGAACTGTTGAGGGAATTCGTATTCCTATTCCAAAAAGAAAGGATGATGCTACCGGTGGTTCCGGATAAGTGTACATCGGAGGCACTCATGAAGGTTCTAAATCCACTAAGTTCCAATGCCTTCCAAAAACTAAAGGAGAGCTTGCTCGAGTTTTAGGCAACCACTTGGGCAGATGTCCATAACCGCTATGAATCAAAGATAATGATAGAAGATGATCAACTTGGCTCATCAGTATCAACCAAGGGTCGGGGTCGTGATAAAAATCAGGACAAGTTTAAAAAACTTTGATACAGATCAGCGGTCTTCTAGGGGTCATTTTCTACCGTATAGAGGTTGAATAGTGTAGCAGTAAAGGATTTTAGTTATCGGATAGGTTTGCCCCCAACAAAAGGATGGAACGTGGTCAAAACAATAGGTCGTTGCAGGAAAAAGAGATGCCAGGGGATCGAGATCCTACGTATCCTAGATTTTCAGATTACAACATTAATATAGCCTGGTAGAATTGGTGTCGGCAATGAGAAATATCAAAGAAGCACGGTTTCCTAAACCAATTTGATCGGATCCTAGCCAGTGGGATCCCAGTTTGTGGTG